GGTTCAGGGGGCTGCCTGGGCTCAGACCGGGAATAACCAGGTACCAGGTTATGGGGCTCAGCGGCCTTGTCGTTGTGAAGCACGGCAGCCCCCGAGGTGAGCGATCCCTTTCTCTAAGGCGTAATTATCCCTGACAGCGAAGCAGACGTCCCCATCGATGTGGAGACGGTGACGCCCACGCCCGTGCCGCTCTATGACAACCAGAAGGCGCGCAGCGTGATGAACGAGTGTGAGCGCCACGTGATGTTCGCTCGCACGGACGCTGACGCCCCGCCGCCGCCGGACGACTGGGAGGAACACGTCAACAGGTAGCGCGGGGATAGCGGAGGGAAGAAATCTGGGCACCGAACAGCCCCCCGTTGCAGGCTGTGGGGTTCTTTTTAGCGTGGCTCGATAGGCGGTGTCGTTCCTGAACGGAATAATGTTTAAAGACAGTGAATTCTCCTGTCTGAATTCCTTGCCTGCCTGCTGTGAAAGGCGTCGGGGTGTGAGGGTAGAGGCTGAACCTCTCCCACACGCTTCGTGTGAAGCGCACTCCGCAGTTCGGAGGAGATTAAGACAGTGAGTTGTGACACGTAGATCCTCAGTTCAGCCGTATTCCAATGTCAGAAGTTAAAAATGAGGCTATGCATAAATTCCACCCTGGGAAAACCCCTCCCTGGAGCTGTAGACGGGCCGGTTCAGTCTGGATGTTACGAGGGATGTTTTGGTTTATTGTTTCTGGACAGCTGGAGAAATGTGGCGATAACCTGGGCTAAAAGGAGTGATTATTTGGGTTTTATTTCTTGCTTCTGCTGCTACCCTTGTCTTCCTGATGCTTGGATGTTTGCCAACACTCCCTAATGACACTTAAACCCAGTCCTACTGCTTAAATCCTCAGTAGGGAAACTCCCTTTGCCTGTCCCTGTTGGAAGCGGGCAGCAGCTTGCAGGGCCTGGATGTCCGCCTCACGCTGACCTCCGTTACCTGTGGTTTTCCCGACAGGACGGGTTGGACGATGGCGCAGAACAAGCTGTTTAATAAGATTCACAAAGCGCTGCAGTCTGACAGGCTGGCTCGTTTGGCTAACGAAGGGGTAAGGTCTTGTCCCACCCTGTTCCACTTCCCGGCAGAGTCGCTGCCCCTGTGTTTTGGTCCTTCCTAGCAAAGTCTGGTTGGGTCAAGATGAAAATCATGGCCTTTGGCCTGAGGACACAGGCAGCTCTGGGCTTCTTTGGGCCTGATACTGTCCTCGCTACGAGGATGTTGGTCTTTGCCTGCAGCCAGAGGACTCCAGGCTGCCCAAGCCATCCTTCCCTCTGGCTTGGGATGCGCGCGGCACACTTGAATCTCTGCCCCGTAACTGTGTTTGGTTTTGCTTCCTTGGTTTTTAGGCTTGCAACGAGCCTGTCCTGAGGAGGATAGCGGTGGACAAATGTGCTCGGAGGGTGCGCCAAGCTCTGGCTAGCGTGAACTGGGACACCAAACTGATCCAGTGGCTTCACACGACGTTAGTGGAAACCCTCAGTTTGCCGGTGCTGGCGGCTTACTTGGATGCTCTGCAAACGCTTAAGGGAAAGGTGATAAAAGCAGCACAAGACTTTGCTTATCATGTTCTCCCTTTATAAATCCCGTTAAAGGAGGCTGACGGCGTCTTTATCCTTGGGAGGGGCAGGGGTGATGTTTAAGGGCCCCTCGAAAAGGCTGTGAGCGTGTCCTCAGTCCTCTCCTGGCCTCGGCTTTCAGATCCCCACCCTGATCGACAGGATGCTGCTCTCCTCCACTGCAAAGACGGGGGCGGCGGGTGCCGAGGCCCTGTCCCTGCTGCTGAAGAGACCCTGGGACCCAGCCGTGGGTGTCCTGTCCCATAATAAACCAGTGAGTACCACCCCCCCCCGGGCATGCAGGAGACAGAAGCTGGTCTTGCATCGGCTTTATTCTTCCCATCCTTCTGCTGCCCTCCTCCTTCCATCTCTAGTTTGCTTCCTGG